GGCGTGAGCCACTGCGCCCGGCCACCATCAACTCTTTTCATTTGCAACTTTTTATGACGGAGAAGAGCAGAGAAGGTGCTCTGAGAGAGGTGTTGCAGATAAGAGGAGGGGAAGGTAAGGGTTTAGGGATGTTGTTACCGAGTTGAAAGAACGGGACACCTGAAATATCAGGTGGACAGACAGGACAGGAAGAGGGGTGCCTTCATGTACGAGCAAGGGGGCTCAGCCTGGGGGCCGGGGGACAGAACTGCTGTCAAAAAACGCTTGTAGCTGTGGGCAATTCGCCCGTCGTGAAACCTCCCTGCAAAAATCACCCAGCTGCCGTACGGGGCAAGACGACAGCGCTGACATCTGAACAGCGGAAGCTTGGCTGGGGACCACGGGCCACACGTGGCTCAGGGACTGAGGGGGCTTTGGGGACCTTCGTCTGCACGACCGCCAGTCCACGCCTTTTACATACACCAGGATAAATGTCTCCGGGCTCGGCCTTCCAACACAACGCTCCCGGAAACAGCTGGGTGTGAGGATGGGGGGACACTCAAGATCTCTGTGGCCCGGAGTGTGAATTGAGGCCACTTTTCTCAAGGCAGTTGCAACAATACAAAAGCCCATACCCTTTGACCCTCCAGTTCCACCAGGACACTTACTTCAAGGGAATAAAGAAAACTACACAGGGTGATCCACTCAGTACTGTTAAGATATATTCAGGAGTTATACTAAATCCTTACAAAGAAAATCAGTTGGCGGGCAAGGTGGCTCACGCTGTAATACCAGCACTCTGGGGCCGATGTGGGTGGATGCTCAAGGTCAGAGTTCAAAACAGCCTGAGCGAGACCCCGTCTCTACTATAAAAATAAAGAAATAATTGGCCAACTATATATATATATATATATAAAATTAGCGGGTATGGTGGCCATGCCTGTAGTCCAGCTACTCGAGGCTGAGCAGGAGATCGCTTGAGCCCAGGAGTCTGAGGTTGCTGTGAGCTAGGCTGACGCCACGGCACTCACTCTAGCCTGGCAACAAAGCGAGACTCTGTCTCAAAAAAAAAAAAAAAGAAGAAAGAAAGAAAAATCATTATTAAAATGTGGATACCCATACAATGCAATGCTATTCGCGACTATTAAAAATTATGAAATAGATTTCCACTGATTAACACGGAAAGAAGTCTACAATACTGCAAGTGAAAAAAGGTGGTTGAGACACAAATGAACCCGAAATAATCTCCAAGAAACTGTGTGCGAACTATACGCACAGAAAAGTCTGGAGGAATTTATAGCAAAGCGTTAAGTAGTGGTGATTAAATATCATTTTATTTCTTTTTAAGAAATATATATATATATATATTATACAATATATTTACTTTCCTTTCCCCTTCAGCTTCCTCCCCTCTTCTCAATCTCACCAAATCTCTTCCTCTGCCTATTATGGTATAGAATAGTTGTATATCTCTACAGAGTACATGTAGCTAATCTTTATTTTATTGTCTCGTTTTTAAAATTTATTTTTAATTTATTTATTTTTTGAGACAGAGTCTCGCTTTGTTGCCCAGGCTAGAGTGAGTGCCGGTGTCAGCCTAGCTCACAGCAACCTCAGACTCTGGGCTCAAGCGATCCTCCTGCCTCAGCCTCCCGAGTAGCTGGAACTACAGCACGAGCACCATGCCCGGCATTTTTCTATATATTTCTAGTGCCAGTTAATTTCTTTTATTTATATAGAGACGGGTCTCGCTCTTTGCTCAGGCTGTTTTCGAACTCCTGACCTCGAGCAATCCGCCGGCCTCGGCCTCCCAGAGTGCTAGGATTACAGGCGTGAGCCACCGCGCCGGTCCTAATCTTTATATTCAATGTAAAAAATGTTCCTGTTTTTTTTCCTCATAGTTTTGCAATCACACTGTAATTAGAAGAAACAATAAAATAGAAACAAACCAAAACATAACTTGTCAGTAAAAGTTGTTACCAAAGAAGTAACAGGAAACATGAAAAAATTGCCTTCGACTGACCATTCACGATCATACGACTAAAAAAAGCATTTTCTCCCAGCAGAGACATACCCTACGGCAAACCGCATGAAGACATCAGCTAGGAGCCTGGCAGGCACGGACTGTTTGTGCAGCGATTTATGAAAATGCGAGTTGCTGTAAGCTGCCCGTTCTCCTTTCACAACCTCGCTTCCTGTTTCTTTTCAAAAAGAATAAAACTGCAGAGTCAAACTGCAGAGAGAAGGAGGCTGGCCCCGCAGTCACGGGGGAAACAAAGAGTTGAATTCAGAGCCTTGCCTCCTGGACCCGTGGCCTCTCCCAGCTGTACCCCGGCAAATTAGAAAGGATTCAAACCAGAGTCACCAGACCATGGATTAAAAAGCTCCTGCCCTGTTCTCCACCCTTTGTCTTTCTTGGGGGGAGTGTGGACTGGAGGGAAAGCAGGGGAAGAGATCTGGTGGGATGAGAAAGGGAGGAAGACGAGAGGGAGGTAGATTATTCTCGCCAGCAGTGTAGACGCTCCGGTGCCCACAGAGGACAGCAGGGATAGCCAGTGCCAGTGCATGGCAGAGATGACAAAAGTGTCCTCTGGGAATTGCGGAGAACAGTCACCCCTTAGCACTACCCTGGCAACCAGGGGCGGTAGCTCCGGCTGGCTGTGACCAGAGTACTTGTGGCCAAGGGTGTTTGACAGAATAGCATCAACTCATCACTCTGGCAGTGGTTCTTCTATTTCTTTTTTTTTTTTTTTGGACAGTCTCACTCTGTTGCCCGGGCTAGAGTGCCATGGGGGTGTCAGCCTGGTTCACAGCAACCTCAAACTCCTGGCTCAAGCATACCTCGCCTCAGCCTCCCTAGTAGCTGGACTACAAGCATGCACCACCATGACAGTAATTTTTTCTATACATTTTTAGTTGGCCAATTAATTTATTTCTATTTTCAGTAGAGACGGGGGGAGGGGATCTCGCTCTTGCTCAGGCTGGTCTCGAACTCCTGACCTAGAGCAATCATCCCGCCTTGGCCTCCCAGAGTGCCAGGATGACAGGCATGAGCCACCGCGCCCGGCCTCTTTTCTAAATCCTATTGCACGAAGCACGTCGTCAATGCTGGGTTTGGAGCAGACACTCAAAGTACTTCCTGGATCGAATTAAGCCTTTACAGTTCCACACACTGGAGTACATTTAAAGTGACATTTGCGTTTTAATGACACTCACTCATTTCTCATCAGCTCAGGACCACACCTGGGCACAGAATGGGAACCCAGTTTACAGGCAATGAACGGCTGAAGGAGGCAACACAGCCCCTGTCAAAGGCTGAGCATGTCGACTGCAGCAACTTCATCTCAGATATGGAAGACTAGAGGCACAAAACCATCCTGAACAACACACTCCTCCCTCCTGGGTTAGCCCACCAATGTGGTCATGTCAATGCTGCACCCTGACCTTCTATTCTACAATCAGGAGTCTTCAAGGACAGGGATGAGAGACCAGATATTGGAATAACAGTGTAAAATTACTGACAGTAAGTGCTGCCAAGGGAACCAGCAGATATTTAAGGCGATGAAACCATGAACTACATTTCTTAAATATTTATTTAAAACATTTGAGCCCTCCGATGCACTTAATCATGGGCTCACTCGTGCAATATGTGAGCATCTACTATTTACCATTTTCTGTTGAATTCATTCAGGGGACAGAGGTCACCCTGATCACAAACACGCTGGACCAAGGGGAATACTTACCGGTGGCATTTCTGGAGCTGAACGGATTAGCACCTGTGGAGGAGAGACGACAGTGAGCTGGGGTCGGGGCTGGGTCCTGAAGGCACAGTTTCTCATGAAGCAGGAGAAATCACGGACAACCTGGTTCCCATCTCAGCCCCGTGGGACACTGGCAGCTGGCGAAAGCACGCTTGTCTTAGCAAAGAACAGGCAGGGTGACTGACCAAGGGCGTGGGCCACACTTAAGAATCGGGGTGGGCGCGGTGGCTCACTCGTGTCATCCCAGCACTCTGGGAGGCCCAGGCGGGAGGATCGCTTGAGGCCAGGAGTTTGAGACTAGCCTGAGCAAGAGCGAGACCCCGTCTCTACTAAAAATGGAAAAAAAAAATTAGCTGGGCGTGGTGGCGCATGCCTGCAGTCCCAGCTACTCAGGAGGCTGAGGCAGGAGGATCGCTTGAGCCCGGGAGTTTGAGGTTGCTGTGAGCTATGATGATGCCACGGCACTCTAGCCTGGGCAAAAAACCGGATTCGCATATGCCCTAGAGAAGGCCCAGATTGCAGCAGCTTCTCTGCCCCCCAGATCTCAGCTCCAGGCTGTGCCACCGCAGGAGCACTTCTGTACACTGCCACCATGGGAGGCAGCGGGTGTTACTCAAAGAGTCTTGGCACACACACACACAAAAAAAGGGAGTCTTGGCAGGTGGAGCAGGCTGGCGCAGTCACCTCTGGCGGGTGGGCTTTGCTTTCTAGCTATCCCCACCGGACTGAGCCTGGGGCAGCGGCTGGGGCACCATAGAGCCGTGCAGCTGTGTCTCGCGCCAGAGCTCAGCCTGGATCCCCGGAGCGGCAGCGCCTGCGGCCCTGGCCCCCCCAGCGCAGAAGAGCGAGAGCTGACCTGGCGGCTGGCGGGGGGCAGAGGGCGTGCCTTCCGAGGTCCCCACGGCTGTGGTCTGGGAGGGGGCCTGGGAGGACTCCTGCCCGCCCGGGCCTGGGGGTCCTGCAGAGGGCGGCTTGGAGGGGGAGTGCGGTGCAACGGCTGTCTCTGCGGCCACCGTGGTGTCTGCCCCGGGAGATGACGCTGCGGGTAGGAGATTCCAAGACAGGGAGAGCGTGAACATTTAGACTCCTCTCTGCTCGGCTCCTGCAGAAGGGGGCCACTGCGCAGCCAGCGGCTGCAGGGAGTCCACCCCGGCCAGCCCTCCCCCGCAAACCGCTCCCGTCCACCCCGGGGAGCCCCGGCACTGGCGATGGCCCCACAGAACACGGGGTCCTCGGGGCGCCCCAAAGATCTGATGCAGCTCAGGCTCGTTTACTGCAGAAGCCGCATCCGACAGGAACGACTCAGCCCAAACCACGCGGGGAGCTGCGTTTGCCAACGACGGCGGCCGGAAGCTGACTGTGTTTGACACGCTGGCACAGTTTTTTGAAATACAGGGGAAACCCGAGACGGGGTGTATTTGAGGACAGTGCCCTGACTTAGCTCCAGTCCCAGGAAGGGCTGCCTTGCCTTGTCTTCCTCCTCCCTGCTGGGCAGGCGGCCGCGCTGGCTGTAAGCCGAGGCACACCTGTTCTCCGTTCCCTTCCCAGGAGAAACGGCTTCTCTATCCTGGCAGACTTAGGGAAGGTGAGGTCCAGCCCCGGGCTCTCCGTACACGATGCCGTGGCCGGCGTTCCCACGGTCCCCCGGCCGTACACGTTGGGAGAAGCCCTCACACCCCTGATCCTCTGTCACCCCCTCCCAGGTGCCTCACGCCACCCCCGGTGCCAGCCCTCCGGGCGCCCTGCAGACAGAGCCCATCAGAGCGCCCCGTGGCCATGCCAGCCCCTGCTCTCTCCCGTCTGCGCTCTTGACAGCGGCTTCGTCTCAGCCACGGACACCCGAGCAGGCATTCGGGACACAGAGGTGGGGCTGGGAGAGGCTGCCCGATACCGTGTTTCCCCGAAAATAAGACAGGGTCTTAGATTTATCTCTCCTGGAGAAGACACCCCAGGGCTTGTTTTCAGGGCACGTGTTATATTTTTAAAGTGCGGTACAACCATCTACATGGATTCAAATAGAGTGAAGTCGTCTTCTTCTGGAACATCATCATCACTCTCCAAACCCCGAATCCCATCCTGAACATCCTGAATGTCTTGTTTTTTTCTTTTGAGACAGAGTCTCGCTTTGTTGCCCAGGCTAGAGTGAGTGCCGTGGCTCAGCCCTGCTCACAGCAACCTCAACTCCCTGGGCTAAAGCGGATCCTCCTGCCTCAGCCTCCCAAGTAGCTGGGACTACAGGCATGCGCCACCATGCCCCGCTAACTTTTTCTATATATTTTAGTTGTCCAATTAATTTCTTTCTATTTATAGTAGAGACGGGGTCTCGCTCTTGCTCAGGCTGGTTTCGAACTCCTGGCCTTGAGCAATCCTCCTGTCTCAGGCCTCCTAGAGTGCTAGGATTACAGGCGTGAGCCACCGCACCCGGCCCCATACTGAATTTCTTGTGACTCTATTTCCTTTAGAACCACTGGCCCCAATCTCTCATGCGGAGCAACAGAGCTCTCACGGGGCAGATGAGAAGGGCTGCTCGTCTTCTTTCCCGCTCTGCGACGACATGCATGGGTTGTGCAGATGCGCTGCGCAGCCACACCAGTCACTAGGGCTTATTTTCGGGGTGGGGCTTCTGTTGCGCAAATGCTTAGAAATCCTACTAGGGCTTATTTTATGGGTAGGTCTTGTTTTCCGGGAAACGTGGTAGTTCTCATCTCTTGGGTGAGTCAGGTGTGGCCAGATCAAAGGCGTTCGGGCGTTGCCCCAGGTTCAAATGCAGCCGGCACCTGAGCCCTCCCCCATCTGCATGCGGGCAGCTCACTCTCTAGGGGAAATCTCTGCCCAGCCTCTCCCTCCACCCTCACCTGCTGTCCTTAGCCACCTGAGAGCCACCTGGGAGGCTGTGAGAGCCCCCGATTCCCAGCCAGCCCTCCAGGCCAGCGGGAGACCCCAGACCGAGACCCAGTGCTCCAGGGGAGGGACGGTGCTGGCAGAATGAGGCCAACAGATGTGCCAGTGCCTGCAGGGCAGGAGGAGACTCTGGCTGGTGAGAGCCACAGACCTGGTGATGCAGCACGAACACCGGGAGCTGAACATGACAGAACAAAGTATTGTGGGATGCAGGGCATGCTATCCCAGGGCAAATAGCGTCCCATGTTTCAAATTCTCTTAACACTGAGAAAGTGCTGAGGAAATCGGGCTGGAAGACCATGTAAGACTCTGTCAAACTACAGATCATTGGCAGTGTCATGCGATGCTTCTACTGTGTTTCCCCGAAAGTAACACCTGCCCATAAAATAAGCCCTAGCAGGATTTCTAAGCATGTGTGCAATAGAAGCCCTACCCCGAAAATGAGACCTGATGATGGGCGTGGCTGCGCAGCGCGTCTGCACAACCCATGCATGTCGTCGCGGAGCGGGAAAGAAGACGAGCAGCCCTTCTCATCTGCCCCATGAGAGCTCTAGTGCTCGACAGGAGAGATTGGGGCCAATGGTTCTAAAGGAAATAGAGTTGCAAAGACATTCAGGATGGAATTCGGGGTCTGGAGAGTGATGATGATGTTCCAGAAGAAGACGACTTAAGTGTATTTGAATAAATGTAGATGGTTGTACCGTACTTAAAAAAAAAAAATAACACATCCCCTGAAAATAAGCCCTAGGGAGTATCTTCTTGAGGAAAGATAAATATAAGACCCTGTCTTATTTTCGGGGAAACACGGTGGGGTAGAGCAGTGACCACGAATTTGCTAGTGTGTAGGACTTGGGGGCAAGTCTGCACGGGTCTCTGACACTCTGCACATCTTGCAGACCGAGCGGCCCAGGGCTCTAGGGAACGTGAGGTCCGGCGTTTCTCTGGATGCTTCTACAGCAAGTGCCTTGGAAGCGGGGCAGGGCCTCCCCTGCGGCACAGAGCAGGCGTGTTTCCTGCCCAGGACAAGACACCCAGGTCCCTGGAGCCTGGGCTCTGTCTCCTGCCCTGCAGCCCGGACAGGCAGCTGTGGAGGTCCCCGGGGGACAAGGGAATGGATGCAAAGATGCCAAGCTCTCGGTTTCTAGTCTCCCTCCTGGCAGCGTGGCCTTCTCTGCCAGCACCCGTGAAGCCGTGGCGAGCCAACACGCCAGTCAGGTCAAAGCTCAGACCGCTTCTGGTGCTCGGAGAGGGCAGGAGTCTCCAGCTAAACAGGACCTGACGCACCGACAGTGCACTGTACACCGCGGTGCATCGTGTGCATGCATATCAAGCAGCTTTGATTTCAAAAAGAAAATTAACCCACTGGAAATTCTGGCCCTCGGCTTCGATGAAAACGTCCGCGCTACTGCCTAAATCCGCGGTGGCGCGCTGGCGGCCGAGGTCTGCGAATTCGTGGGGTTGTGGGGGGGAGGATGGCCCTGGGTTGGTGGGAGGATTCGAACGGGAGTCCTCAGAGAGTTTCCAACATTCCTACCTTTTCCGGAAGGGGATGGGCTCTCTGGCTGTAGGGTCACCCTTGCCGTTGTTGCCGTGGAGAATGGCACTGGCCTTTGGTGAGTCAGGGAGGGGTCTCCTAGAGAGAGGACAACCACACGGCATTTATGATCCCAAGCGCGGAACCCAGGGTGGCCTCAGAACCGGACACACACAGAATATGTCAACGTGTTTACAGTGGCGAGATTCGGCTTCCTAGGACAGGTTGCAAGTGTGGGAAACCAACAATGAATATTTCCCAGCTCGAATGCCAAGACAGACTGCAAACTATTTTTCTTTTCTTTTTTCTTTCTTTCTTTCTTTCTTTTTTTTTTTTTTTTTTGAGACAGAGTCTCACTCTGCTGCCCGGGCTAGAGTGAGTGTCGTGGCGTCAGCCTAGCGCACAGCAACCTCCAACTCCTGGGCTCCAGCGATCCTCCTGCCTCAGCCTCCCAAGTAGCTGGGACTACAGGCATGCGCCGCCATGCCCGGCTAATTTTTTGTATATATTTTTAGTTGTCCAGATAACTTCTTTCTGTTTTTTAGTAGAGACAGGGTCTCGCTCTTGCTCAGGCTGATCTCGAATTCCTGAGCTCAAACGATCCTCCAGCCTGGGCCTCCCAGAGTGCCAGGAAGACAGGCGTGAGCCACCTCGCCTGGCTGCAAACTGTTTTTTTTTTCTAGCATTTCCAAAAAAGACTGTGCAGGTTAAATATCGAATTTCTTTGGTTTTTGGCTGAATGGCTATCAACCCAATTTTATAATACTGGTTTCTCATGGGAAGATAAATGATCACTCGATAGATTCTGTTTGCTTAGCAGGAAAAAGAAAATCTATTAAAGCATAAGAGGTTGGGGGGAAAAATGAAGGGAGTTTGTGGAGGTCTGAAGGGAGTTGGGGGGACGCTTTGGACTAGACGGAACCTGAAGATTGCCCCAGTCCCGGGGCACGAAAACCCTGATTCCGGGTTCTCTTCTTTCCTCCTCCCTGTTCAGAGCCTGCAGCCCGCGGAGGTTTGAGGAGACATGACAGTCCCTGCAGAGAACCGAGTCCCCGCCTGGGTGCGGGAAGACACCCCCCGCCGCCCATGGATGCTGCTGGCAGCCGCGCCAAGTCCCCCTTCCCTTGCCCCCATGTCTGGGCGCCTCCTCCCCAGCCCAAGGGGAAGGGCTTCCTCCCTGCCTTCCCTCTGGTGTCCGCCCGGCTCATCCAGGGAGCAGGACGGGGACAGCCCCAGGGCCCTGCGCAGCCAGGCCAGGCGTCCTCCAACTGCGGCCCGCGGGCCACGTGCGGGTGTTTTTGCCCGTTTGTTTTTTTACTTCAAAATAAGATGTGTGCAGTGTGCATAGGAATTTGTTCACAGTTTTGTTTTTTTTTTTAAACTGTAGTCCGGCCCTCCAATGGTCTGAGGGACAGCGAACTGTCCCCCCCCACACACGTTTAAAAAGTTTGAGGACCCCTGTGGCAGACGGCGGCCGTGGGCTAATCTCTATTTTTCTAGAGGAAGGAAGAGGAGCAGGGTCCTCTTAGTAGAGACAGGGTCTCGCTCTCGCTCAGGCTGGTTTCGAACTCCTGACCTCGAGCAATCCGCTCACCTCGGCCTCCCAGAGTGTCAGGATTTACAGGCGTGAGCCACCAAGCCCAGCCAAGACCCTGTCTTATTTTCGGGGAAACACGGTAGTTAATGTTTACCATCTTCTCTTAATCTTCCTCCGGCCCACAGTGTTGGCATCGGGGCCATTTTCTAGGTGACGAAGCAGAGTTCCAGGAGGTTAAGGAAGAGCCTTGCCCAAGGCCTCGAGGATGCAGGTGGCAGAGCCAGGAAGTGAGCCCAGAACCAGGTGACACTAACACGCGTGCATTTCCAACGCCAGCAGGTGTCATTCCGGGTCCCACTGGTGCATCTGGCCTCAGACCTCCCTACAGGTCTCTGGGGTCCCCGGGCCCGGCCCTGCTGTGCTCGCAACCCTGGCGGGGGTGGGCACAGAGTGGGGCTGGCTACTTACTGATGCACTTGAGGTTGGGGGCCGTCCAGTGGGCGGTCTGCGTGGTCTCGTTGAACATGCACTGGGTCAGGCTGGACGTGCCGGCTTTGCGCTTGAAACCCGAGTTGCACACGTACCGCTCCCTGGAGTGCACGCTGTAGCTCTTGACACGGATGCCCGCGTGTTCCACGGAGGTGGGCGTAGGGCACGTGATGCCTGTCAGAGTGGAGGGGAGGGATGAAAAGACTGCCGCTGTGAACAGGCGTTTTCTGGGGACCTGCGGGCAGTGGTCAGCGACTCTAGGGCCGGGCCCGGCTAGTCCCGGGGGCCCCTTAAGCCTCATAAGCCCCGAGTGCCAAGCATGTGGAAGACGTTCGGGAAGGGCACCCATGGCCCAGAAAGATCAAATGAAAAATAAACAGCATCCCGCATCACATAGGGCAAATTCCTCTCATACGTAAAAAGCTCTTGGAAATCAATGAAACGACCACCAAATCCCATAGGAAAATCAGAAAAAGGTACAAACAGGCAGTTTCCAGAAGAGGAAACACAAATGGCTCTTTTTTTTTTTGAGACAGAGTCTTGCTTTGTTGCTCAGGCTAGAGTGAGTGCCGTGGCGTCAGTCTAGCTCACAGCAACCTCAGACTCCGGGGCTCAAGCGATTCTCCCACCTCAGCCTCCCAAGTAGCTGGGACCACAGGCATGAGCCACCATGCCTGGCTAATTTTTTGTATGTATATATTTTTAGTTGGTCAATTAATTTCTTTATATTTTTGGTAGAGACGGGGTCTCGCTCAGGCTGGTTTCGAACTCCTGACCTGCATCCATCTGCCCGCCTCGGCCTCCCAGAGTGGTAGGATTACAGGTGTGAGCCACCTCGCTCGGCCACAAATGGCTCTTAAATGTAGAAAACGATGCTCAATCTCATGGGTAATGGAAGCAATGTAAAATAAAGCTACCTGAGACAGCACTTTCAGCTGCCAAGTTGGAGAAAGAACTGAAAGTTGAGCAATATTCCTTGTACGTCAAGAAGGGATTCTCATACTGCTTGCGCAACTCTAATGAGCTCTATTTACAATCTCTCTAAAGATTATACGTGAACATGCTTTCTGACCCCGCAGTTCTACTTCTGGTAACTTATCGCACAGCTATATCTGCATACAAAGGGAACGCTGTTACAATGTGCCCTTCAACCCAGCCATTCCACCTCCAAGAATTTATCTTACAGATATACTGGCCTATTTGAGCAGTGAGTACACACAAAGTTATTGATTATAATAGCCGGCGTCTGTAAATAACCGTGCACGTCACCAGGAGAGGACTTATTCAGTCAGTGACAGTACAGCCACACAGCGAAGGATGGCCTAGCTTTTCACAATGGGCTAAGAGAGCTCTCTGTGCACTGAAGTGGAGAAATCTCCAGGATACAGTGTTAAGTTAAAAAGTAAAGGGACAGGCCCGGCGAGGTGACTCACGCCTGTCATCCTAGCACTCTGGGAGGCTGAGGCGGGAGGATCGCTTGAGCTCAGGAGTTCCAGACCAGACTGAGCAAGAGCGAGACTCCGTCTCTACTAAAAATAGAAAGAAATTAATGGGTCAACTAAAAATATATAGAAAAAATTAGCCGGGCATGGTGGCGCATGCCTGTAGTCCCAGCTACTTGGGAGGCTGAGGCAGGAGGATCGCTCGAGATCAGGAGTTCAAAACCAGCCTGAGCAAGAGCGGACCGTCTCTAACTATAATAGAAAGAAATTAATTGGCCAGCTAAAATATAAGATAAAATTGCTGGGCATGCAGCTGCCATGCCTGTAGTTCCATGCTACTCAGGAGCTGAGGCAAGGAGATCGCTGACCGGGCAGGTTGGGGTTGTAAGCTAGGCTGTCCGGCCAGCTCACTCAGCTGGCAACAAGTGACATTTGTCTCAAAAAAAAAGAACTCTCATAAAATTAACACAAAGACATGCCTCATGGCATGAACGGGCAAAGGATACAATGAGTAATTCACAAAAGAGGCTACACTTACATCCCTACGAACAATGTCCCAAACGTCACTAACCTATCCTCGCTGGACATTCCTGAACTGTCTTGCTCTGGGGGCTCTATGAGGTCTATAGTAGGTTGTGTTTGGGTACGGGGATGATGGGGGAGAAATCTCAAATTCCAGATTGTCTGCAATCAGTAATAAGTTTTGTCAGAGTGGGTTCTGTTATTTCCCGTAGGCGTTCGTTCCGATGGGCTGGGGAAGCATGTTGTTGTGAAGTGGGGGGGGTTGGGGGTCGGCGAGGGGGTTGGTGGCAGGGGAGAGTGGAATAGGCATTGAGATGGGTCTTGGATTCTGCTGTTGCTATGGTTACCCGCCAGCCCCACGCTTGGAATCCTTCTAGGGTTACCACTAACCGCTGCCCTGTGTCCTCTCCAGAGGGGGCCTTTCTTCAATGTTTGCTCCACCCCTCCAATCCTCTTCCATATGTGCCTAAACCACAGTCACCCACCCCCACGACCCACCCTGGTCCACAGACGGCCATGCTGGGCACTCGGTGCCTGCTTGCAGGGTGGGAGTGGGGCTGAGACAGCCGCCCACTGTCCTGAGTCTCGGCGGGGAGGGCGCCTGTGTCAGTTGGAGCCTTCAGTTATTTTGCCTCTTCCCTGCAGAGGGGGAGCCAACCTCTCCCTTGTATCTTCGCAGGCCTGTTGGAAAAATTTCCTCCTCCCTTCTTCCAGCAGCGGTAGGCCGCCAACATATTTGCGTAGGACCGAGCATGTGTGTGTGTGTGTGTGTGTGTGTGTTTGTGTCTGGACTCGCCATTCGATGCCATTGACCTGTTTGTCTTCCCACCAGTGCCGGGCTGTCTGATTACTGCAGCTTCCCAGTAACTGCAAGTCAGGGCGTGTAAATCCTCCTACTTTGTATCATCTTATTTTATTTAGTTATTTATTTTGAGACATGAGTCTCACTGTGTCCAGCGGCTAGAGTGCCGTGGCGTCAGCTAGCTCACAGCAACCTCCAACTCTGGGTCAAGCCATCTCCTGCTCAGCTCCAATACTGGGACACAGGACGCCTGCTATGCCCGGCTAATTTTGAGGGATATAACTATTTGTTGGCCAATTAATTTCTTTCTATTTACAGTGGAGACGGGGTCTCGCTCTTGCTCAGGCTGGTTTCAAACTCCTGACCTTGAGTGATCCACCAGCCTCGGCCTCCCAGAGTGCTAGGATGACAGGCGGTGAGCCACTACGCCCGGCCCTTTGTATCATTTTAAAAGTTGAGTTTGCGCTTCGAGGTCCTTTGCTGAATTGTAGAATCGGCATCTTAATTTCTGCAAAAACAAAAAAGCCTGCCCAAATTTTGATTGGCATTGCATTAAATCTGCAGATCAGTTTGAGGAAAAACTGACAATCATATTGATGAGTCTTGTCAAAACCCACAAACACATCATCTCTCTTGATTTGTTTGTCTTCTGTCATTTTTCTCAGAAATATTGTATAATGTCAGTGTGGAAGCCTCTGTACTTCTTTTGTCAGATGTGCCCCTAAGTATTTAATACGTTTTGATGCCAATGCAAATAGTGTTGTTTGTACTCCAATTTCCTATTGTTTGTTGCTGGGATTCTGTATATTGATTTTTTTTTTTTTTTGGTATATTTGACCGTGTATTCTGCAACCTTGTTAAGCACACTTATTCTAACAGTATTTTTGTAGATCCCACATGATTTTCTACTGAGATAAACATGTCATGAATTATTCGAGTATATTTTATGATTTCATTTTATCTCCTTAGTTGGCTTATTAACTATAACTCATTGTTGTATTATTTTAGTGGTTGCTTTAGGGCCTATACTAGAAATCTTGTGTTTTTTTTGTCTTGTTTTGTTTTTGTTTTTTGAGACAGAGTGTCACTTTATTGCCCAGGCTAGAGTGAGTGCCATGGCATCAGCCTAGCTCACAGCAACCTCAAACTCCTGGGCTCAAGCAATCCTCATGCCTCAGCCTCCCGAGTAGCTGGGACTACAGGCATGTGCCACCATGCCCAGCTAATTTTTTCTATATGTATTAGTTGTCCAATTAATTTCTTTCTATTTATAGTAGAGACGGGGTCTCGCTCTTGCTCAGGCTGGTTTTGAACTCCTGACCTCAAGGAATCCACCCACCTCAGCCTCCCAGAGTGCTAGGATTACAGGTGTGAGCCACCTTGCCCAGCCTAGAAATCTTTACAGTTTTCCTTCAAGTGATATTATACTACTTTACACAGATAGCATAAAACCTAAAACAGGAGATTTCCATTTGTCTCTTCCTAGCCTTTGTGCTGTTGTTGCCATACATTTTGCTTCTACACAAATTATGCACCCCACAACACATTGTTATTATCTTTAAATAGCATTAAACAATGGATTATCTTCTCTCACCTATGGACTTAAAAAGACATCTGTGCTCTATTAGTCTCCGTTTCTGGGTGTTTTGCAGCAGGAGGGATTTTTAGGATCCACTCTGACATTTTGCTGATAAAGGAAGTCTACCAGTGGTCATTCCATTGTGAACAGTCCTCAAAGTTAAGAGAAAGCCAAGAACAGTTGACATTTGACTACACAAAGATATCAGTACACTGCAGTCAACTCAACCAGCCAAATGGTGGCCCGTTACTTACTTTGCAAAGCTAGATTGCCTCAGAACCACATTGGAGACAAAACGTCTAGTTGTAGCAATAGTGTTTCATTTCCACGTGCCTTAATCACTTCTTCTGATACCTCAGTTATCATTTCCATATGCTTTCTCATAACATCGTTCCCTAGGTGTTCACTATAAGCAAATGCCACCTCGTTTACGATATCATAACCCCCTCGAAGGCAGTGCATATATTTCATAGTTCTCTGGCGTTCTCATGTTTTGACCCGTGTACACAATAGGTATTTTATGAAGTTAGTGGCTTACGGAAACATATACTGAAACGACGAGGTGATGGAAATTAGAGTAAACCGAACGTTCTAGGATTTTCAAAACCCTTAGGTAGCCAAAAAAACATATACAACAAGTCCTAACGATCATGTGCAGTCATCAAAATAGTGTGTAAGGCCACTCTTCTTTCTGCTTCCCAGAACAGGTGAATTAAACTTCCTTATCTACCAGGTTGATTTACAGAGTCTAATACGAGCGAGGAACCTTGGCCTGGTCTCACAGCCAGAGATCGGAGGCGGGCAGGTGAGCTCGCCCTTCCTGTCCCTT